TTTACACAATTTAATGTCAATAAAAATAAGTGGCGACAGACGGGGTGGAGAGAATCCAGTTTTGCTGGAGCTGGCGATCGAGTTYTCGCGGATAGGGGTCGAAAAGATTTATCCCGGTAGAGTGGCGGCACAGTGTCTCTGCGAATGTATCAAAAACGAAACGAATGTGAGTGTGGCGAACTGCTTAGGACGAATGTGTCTGCTATTCCGTTTTCCCTCCTTTTTGTTTAGTGGGTTGGTGTACTGATGAGGTGAGTTCTGTTGTASTATCATCAGCTGTGGTAAATTGCGATGTAGCATTAGGATGCGCCAGTTTTATCGAGTAGTGGGGGTGGATGCTTAACTCATTTAAACATTATTTGAGAAAGTGAAATCACGAAATGGATGTTTTTTTTAATTTTATCAGATTTTTACATTTATTGGTGACAGGCAGATAAGCTTTTAAATTTTTTTTGCGCACTCCCATGTTATAGTTTTTTCGCATCTCAAAGACGCTTGAGATTTTTAAAATTTGTTTGCAAAATTCTCAAGCGTTTTTGAGATATCAAATATGCGTGAATTCACTTTCTCAATCGTCTTTGTGATACTGAGTTAAAAATTAACCAATTGCCTGTACCGAACAATTAACTTGCCGAATATTACGACGAAACACAACATAGAAACGCGTGCGGTTCCTAATTGCGGTCTTAAAATATCTGGAGAAAGCAGAACTAACGGCGCGAACGTTGAGGTGGATGACATTGATATCATCATCAACGTACGCCAGCAGCTGTACACTCTTATAAAAGATTGTACCTTCTCTCATAGACCCGAAAGCTCACCTCGCTGAGCCGAGGGTCATCCGAACAAGATGACAAAAAAAAAAAAAACATACGTAAAAACGAAACCGGAACTAATCAAAGACCACAACAGACGACCAAGAACAATGCACAGAGTGGTACTGTTGCAGGCAAGGGAGGCTCTGTTTGAGGAGCATGCCAGGGAGGATGATGATGAGATGCCCTCATGCAGCGGTGCTCAGCAGGCGAAATCTACTGCATCCGAACCCCTCCGCAAACTCTCCAAAGCAGGATCAGCTCAGGGAAGCCGCTGGAAGAAGAGGTGCAGGGGAAGACTGCCCTTACCACCAATAGGTCGTCTCTCGCAGGAAAGGTATGAGTGGTGCCAGCATAAAATGGTACTTAAGGTACCTCCAGGAGGAAAAACTCCTGAAGAAGCTGGAAGGTTTTCAAGGAACAGCATCAGAGGCAACAKTGCCTCCCTGGTCTCGAAGTTGCGTAAACGCGCAAATACCGCATCCAGCAGTAAGAGGAGCAGCGGCATTCGGAGTGGCGGACCAGTCMTTGCTAATCCAACCGGGAGGACTGGAAGCATAAAGACGGCGCCACTGGCAGCCAAATGAAATAGCAACCAAATAACGGCACAGGAGCCACCAAACTCCAAGAGGCAATGGGGGAGCTATGCCCATGCAGCTGGAGGCCATCTCTCAGCACTGAATCCTCCTCTGCAGCTAAGGGACACCGCAGATATGCACACGCATTAAAAGGCATACGGATGGATGTGCTGTCTTTAAACTACCAAACGGAGACACTAGTTTGGCCGACCAGGTGCGGACTTCGTATTGGCAGCGGCCTATTTTCCAACAGACAGGCATACTGTGCCCCCAGAGGCTGTACAGGGCGTGGTGAATTACTGCAGTACGAAGGAACTGCACCTGGTCCTAGGATGTGATGCGAACACGCATCACACTGTATGGGTTAGTACGGACTGCATTGCACGAGGAGAGTCTCTCCTTGAATTTATTATTAATAATAAACTAAGTATTGAGAATGTAGGGTACGAACCTAAGTTCGTCACAAGCAAGAGGAGGGAAGTGCTGGACATCACCTTAAGTAACGAACGTACAAGGGGCAGCTGCCCCCTAAAAACGATCACCAAAGGTGGTCAAGAAAATTCTCGGCACTCAGACCAAAATTACGTAAGCTTTTCAACAAAGCCAAGCGCACTGGAAACTTAGAGGAGTATAGAAATAACCTAACTGCCTATAATAAGGAGATTAGGTATGCACAGCAGGAGAATTTTAGGAATTTCTGTGAAAACGTCTCTTCTACACCAGAGGCTACAAGAGGAAAGACACAGTTCTAGCGGTTAAAAAATGTGACGGTACTTATACGACTAATGCGGAGGAGGGAGTTACGGCACTCTTGCGAGCCCATTTCCCAGAGACAGTTGAGGAAGACCAGTGTCTACCTGTCGCAGAGCATAAACCACCTCGTCTAGATTGGGTAGTSGCAAGGAAACTGTTCACCAAAAATTCAAAACCGCGGGAGCAGACGGCATCTTTACAGCACTTCTGCAACAAGGAGAGCAGGCTCTACTACCATACCTTGTTCAGCTGATTAGAGATAGCCTGGCGCTGGCGTATATGCTAGAACCGTGGAGGACAGCAAAGGTGATCTTTATACCGAAAGTGGGAAGAAAGGACTACTCAATAGCTAAATCCTTTAGACCTATTAGTATAACTTCCTTCTGTAGGTGTCTGACTGGCTTCAGGGATCTAACCGTCGGTCCGACACCGGCACTTGAAGTCTTGCTGGAACTCACCTCGCTACACCTCGCTACACCTGTACACCTAGTAATTGGTCTAGTCGCCAAATACACTCTACTCCAAATGACAGAGTAGACTGGCAAAGGTAAGGCTTCTTGTGTTTCAACCGGATTTCTCGCCCAGCAGTTACGATGAGTCAGGAAACTTCCTCATTAACGTGCTGAGGCTTACTCAGTTCGTGAGACTTTGGTAATTTAGAGACTTCATTTACCACTGAATTCACGATTTGGTGTCGTTTAATTTGATGCGCCACTTAGATGCCCTCTTAGTAATTGCGTTGACTGCTGTTTGCACACGTCGACTAGATACTGAAGTCGTCTCCCCAACTGCTGAGTTGTGTCATTCGCAAATATCGCTGTCATATAACTTGAATCAGATGGGAGGTCACTGGTAAAAAGCAAATAAAGCATTGGCCCCAACACACTCCCCTGGGGAAACTAGCTTCTATTGGTTGCAAGTTAGGAAGCGATTATTTCGCAATATTGTTTGGGTAGCATGTATTTCAATTAGAGGAGCAGACCCGAATGCCAAACTTTGTCAAAAGCTATAGACACGTCCAAAAAGACCACCGTACAAACGTACTTTTTATCGTTTGTATTTTCAACGAAATTAACGATTCGGTGTACCTGCTCAATTGGTGAATGGTGGTCACGGAAGCCAAATTGATGTGTTGGTATTAAATGTTTATGAGCGATTATTGGTTTGAGCCTATTTATGAGTACATTCTCAAAGATTTTAGATAAAGCTGGCAGCAGCAAAATTTATCTATATGATGTAACATCATGTACTGGCTTACCTGGCTTTGGTATCATTATGACTTCAGATACTTTCCAAAGTGATGGCACGTATCTTAGGCATAAAGCACTGTTTATTATGTTTACAAGTTTTTTTATACAATTCATAATATCAGCTGTGAGTTTAGCCAGATAAGTGTTGAAGGAAAATTTTCCAAACTCTTTAATTTATGCTCTTAGTTTCGCTGTACATTTATTAAGCTCAGTTTTGAGAGAAATCTTCAACCTCACAGTCCAATTCAATACCAGTCGATATGTGCTTAAGCTTTGGGTCGACTTTATTCACTATACTTTTAAATTTATACCAATTAGTGTGTTTATTAGAGTTCAGTGTTGAATTATCAGTATTTTCGCCATGTGCTTTTAATTCCAAGGCAATCGATGTAAAATCCTTTGGAGCAATGGACACGGTTGGATATATTTTATCAATTTGTGGATTGATGACTTTGGAAGAGCTAATTACATCTTCCTTGCTGGTATAGACGCGGTATTGTTTTTCCTTAATTTGGTTCTGCATTTTATCAGCTTTGCGAGCCATACTTTTTTTTCTCCTTTTCATAATTTGCAAAATCTTCTTCTTTTGCTATGTCTGATGGTTGATCTCCCAATTGGTTTTTATATTTGAAGAAGATAGAGGGAGTAATCGAAATGTAATTAATTTTTCTTCAGGTTTTGAAGGTTTATGAAGTTCTTCAAGTGATTCTTCTTCAACTTAATTTTCCTTTCTATCTTCTTCTATTACTTCTGTTGTTTTTTCCTCAACAGAAGATAGAGAGAGTAATCGAACCGTTATAAGTTTTTCTTTAATTTATCTTTTTATCTTTTGGACCACATTAGTTAGTTTCCGTTTGTAAGTGTTCATTTAGCGTTGTGAATAAAAATAGAAATAGCAGCTTCATAATTTTTTGATGAAATTTGTAGACGCTGTATTACTCGTGCAGCTGCGCCTTTTAAGCATTGACAAAGAATTTTTTCACTGTTCGGCATCGGCATTTAGTACACTGACAGAAACACCTCGAATTATTAAAATGTTTTCAAGCGAATGGCCAGAAAATTATTTTTTTATTAAAACTGATGAAGGGTAATTTTCCACTATCAAAATAAGAAAAGAAACACGTTTTCTGAACAACATCTTACCGATCTTCTACGCACTAAGGAGTATAAAGGGAAAATCAATATTGATGACGTATTACCGAAACGAGCCATTTAGTCAACGACTTTATAAACTTTCAAGTATTACTCAAAAAGAATTCAATAAACATTTCTGATATTTTTTCCAAATTCGCCAATAATTTTTTTCCCTGAATGTAAATAAAAAATAAAAAAAATACAAAAAATACAGAAATTTGTTCAGCGTACATGGCAGCGAAAATCTATAGCAATGTTTGTGCAGCGCAAACGTAAAATGTAGTAGTATTGAGGCGTGCGCACCACTGCTTTAAATGCTTCAGTATGTTTATGTACATATGTATGTATGTATGTATATTAATATATAAATAGATATTTATATTTAGTAGAATTTCGGCATTGCTGATAAGTAAGCATGGTCAATGATATTTGAACAGTGATTGTGCAATTTAACCCTTTGCCGGGCAAGACCGTCTGCAGAATTTAAGTTCAAACAGCATAGGTGTTGTGTGATATTGGCAGAAAATGATTTCAACGCTATAGTTTACAAGTTTGGTGAATTCAAGTGACACCGAAAGTGAAAAGTGGCATCTTAATTATCGTGAAAACTTATCCCATTACAAAAATTAAAAAAAGTGGTTTCCGGTGGTCAAATCGAGTTGAGAATTTTTCAGGTAAGTAGTCATATTGCTCATTTCTACAATTTAATTAACATGTAATCTCAAAATATAAATTTCCGAAGATTTTAAGAATATAGAGAAAACTGTCTCTGGACAGTCTTGCCCGGGTAAGGGAACCGTAGCTGAATCGGTCAGTGTATAACAAATGTGGGCTGTTCAATTTTTAATTGCTTTTTAAATTGAAAAATGTTATTTGTATATAATTCTAATTTTTTTTTTCAGAAAATGGAAGAGTTTAGACATCAGAAAAAAAGAAAATATTGTGCGAAAAAGCCACATGAGTTCATAGAGGAAGATAAAAGAAAGCTTAAATTATCTGCAATGACAGATGAAGAAATCGAGCAATTGATGAACTCCACTCTTTTGTCTGATGAAGAATCTGAGTAGGAAGACGATGACAACAGTATAGCTGACCCAGAGTATGTTGTTGATCAGATATCACCTGAGGAAGATCAAACCATAGACGACGTTTTATGTGAAATGAACAACAGCGTTGTAGGCAACGAAGTTGGGTTGTCGTTGAATTTTAGCACACTTAGTGTGTGTTATACATCCATAACTAGTACAGACAACATTCGCCGCTATCGACAACCGAATCGACTGGCCCAAAAGTAATACCATCATCAGGAGGATTTCCAGGCTCAAGCTTGGATGCCATTGACAAGAGTTCGATTGAGTTYTCAAATATCTTATAGCGAGAAAGATCTATGAAAATGCATGTGAATGAAATTGCGTTCCGTGGAACGTGGGTTACCGTATGCCGTCAGAAAGCTTAAGAACCCCATTGAGTTTTTAAATTATTTTTTGACTGATGAACTCATAGCCGTAATTATTGAAGAAACCAACCGAGCAGCGCGGTCAATAGACATAAATACCCAGCTCATAACTAATTCTTCACAGATTCGAAAATATCTCGGCGTTTTGATGTTTATGTCTATTTTTCGCTATTCAAATATAGAAGTGCACTGGAGTGAATTTGGATTTAGACACGTACCAAATGCTTTGCCTTGGAAGAAATTTGTTGCAGTTAAAAAGCATTTGTCTTTTTCTGATAAGAGTAAGCGCATCAAAAGAGGTGAGCCAGGGTATGATCCATTATTTCGAATTAGGAAAATTGTTGATTTTTTGAATGAACGCTTCAATTCCGTTCCTAAACAAGCTCGTTTATATATTGATGAACAGATGTGTAAAACAAAGGCCGTGTACCATTTGCGGCAATATATGACAAACAGGCGCAATAAATGGGGTTTAAAGCTTTTCGTGCTGTGCGACAGCAATGGATATGCATACCAGTTTGAGGAATCATATTCTATACTTTGACAATTTTTACTCATCACTGCCCCTACTGGTACCATTCGAGCCAACAGAATATCAAACATTAAGCTACCATCCGGTTCAGATACTGAGCTGAGAAAAGTGGATAGAGGTTTCGCAGTTGAGTTTTCTGCTACTGCGTAAGGAGTTGACTTGACTACGGCTCTCTGGAAAGACACCAAAAATGTTCGTCTATGCTCAACTTATGTAGGTGTCGAACCATTTGCAAAAGCGAATGCTGCTATCCAGCCATCGAAAATTCATAGATGTAATAGAAAAAAGAGAGAAACATTGAAATAGATTGCCCACAAATCATTCGTGAGTACAACTCTGACATGGATGGTGTAGATCTCATGGATTCATTTATGGGCAGACGGCTTGCATATATAAACCATTAATACAATGACTCGCATMTTCTATCATTTACTAGACATGACTGTTACCAGTGCTTTCATTCTGTACCGTCGAAACAAATCATCGCTTGTAGAGGAAGGAAGAAACGGAAAAGATTTGACTCTATACCAGTTTCGTTTACAATTAGCAAAATCGCTGTGTGCTTCCACCGACAAACCAACGGTTGGACGTCCATCAAGCGGATCGCAGTTATTTCTTAGCAATATCACTATTGGTAAACGAGCAGTGCACCCCGTAGAAGAAATGAGGTATGATCAGCTCAACCATCTTCCAGAATGGGGTTCAAAGAAGTCGTGTAAACTTTGTAAGAAATCTGATACACACACTTTTTGTACAAAATGTAAGCTACATTTATGTTTTTCAAGTACGGAAAACTGTTTCAAAGACTATCATTTGAATGAAAATTAAAAACAACACAACTTAATACTTTTACCGGCCTTTATGAATCATTTTGTTGGAACAAAACTAGTTTCTTTGATCGTTGGTCTATAAAATACGCCTTGTTTATTTCTTACCCTTTGTTGGGCAAGACCGTTTACAGACGGTCTTTAATTTTTTGCACCTGGCGTCCCAACGAATGAAAATTTTTGAAAATGGTTTTCAAATATAAGTTCACCACACCAAAGTCATCCTTCCGTTTTGCCCGTCTAAGGGTTAACTGAAATTGTTGTAGCTTGAATTTCTTCTGTCTTAATCGGATTTTCCTCGAAGTGTTCAATACTGCTTTTGATAACTATAGCGCTCCCTCCTCGTGCTGAGCTTGCCGCGTGTGGTGGGTGATATAATTCATAATTTTTTAATTTTAAAAATGATTGGTTCGTAAAATGCGTTTCAGATAATAGACATACATATATCAATATTTCTGTCATGTAGAATAACTTTTAATTCATTTTTACTTTTGGAAAGACCATTAGCGTTCCATAGCATTATTCTCAAAGAGTTACTGTTCATCAATAAATTCTAGATGGTACTCAAGAGCGTCAAGCCGCTGATTAAAGAACTTAAATAGTTTATCTTGCTCATTTAGTTTATCCAAAATTTGAGATAACGGACTACTTTTTTGAATTGTATTTGTATGGCCTTGTTTAGCCATTTGCGCAAATGAAACTTTAGAAATGGAAGGAAGGAATTTTACTTCTCCTGCGTTCACAACGGGTTTGTTCGTCGGAGCATTGGCATTCTCCTTAACTGAATTACCATTCTTTTTATCTTTAAGTTTTTGCAGTTATTTTGCGACGACACTACCACGGTAGCTTGTAGGATGAGAATCGCCRCAGTTACAACACTTAGCAGGGTCTTTTTAGCTTTCTGCATTCAATAGTAGGATGTTTGCCTCCACATTTCGTACACCTCGATGGCTTACCACAGAAATTTTTTGTATGTCCAAAAGCTTGACAGTGAGTTCTGTAAATTTTTTATCATTACCTTTATTTTCCTATTATGTTTACGCTCGTAGCTAAAAAAAAAAGGTATATTTTCATTAGATACTTTGGTTATTGTGCGATAATTGTTTGCATCGCAGACATTAAGTTTGTACTCGCCGTTGCTAAAAAGCTTTATTAAAAAGTTGCTATTGATTAGATCTGTAATATTAGAATGTAATTTATTAAAATCTTTTACGTCGTTTWTTATAATAGGAGGTGGGCGGTGGGTTTTAGTATAATTGTTGGCCGACTTATTTGAGTGTTTATTTCTTTGATTGTTTTAAAAAAAACAAAACTTCGATTAAAAAGTGAATTGAAATCGGTATGAAACGTCTTTACAACATTAATGCTTCCCACGGAGCACACACCCACGAATTACCACAGACTGGTTTATTTGCAAATTGTCGCAATTGCGGAGCACACTTGAATATTGACCGCACTCAATGATAGTAAACTGGTAAACTCCGTAATGATGAAACAGTGGGTAGGGAGAGGCATTGGCAAAAACTCCCAGGCATGCGTCATGGGGCCATAATGAATGGTTACAACCTCAAAGGTTTAAATATGTAATCAAAATCCCAAGGCTAGTGGTCGCCCTCTACAAGCTCAAAAAGCACTTATTTAACATAGGACTAGCTTCTTGTGCATTTTGCCAGTTTTGCGACTTGGAGTCTGAAACTACAGAACACCTGCTAATAGACTGCACAGCAGCCTGTAGACGCAGGATAAAGGCCTTTGAACCCATGTTTTCAAATAGGGATCACGTCGCTTCAATAGCCCCTAGCAATATATTGGAACTTGTCAATTTGCTGGGACTAGTTGAGTTGATGTAAGTTAGGACAGAGCACAGACACATAGACCCTAGGTCGCAGTGCAATCCTGATTTAATTATCCATCTATCTAATTTTCATTTTTCAAGTTATTGGAACCATAACGGCAGTGCATTTGGGAAAATTCCATAATCTTTTATTTTTATATAAAATCGATATTTTTGTTTTTTCTATATGCTGAGCAATCGACGAAGCAATTGTGTGAAAACCTTATGTACATAAATTCAAGCCATTTCATTTGTCTCACATTATTGCACCCGTAACTGCATTTCCAAAAATTCCACAATATTTTATTCTGGTTTAAAATATATATATATATWTTTTTTTTTGATATTTATTTATGCACTGAGTAATCGTGTATGTTCTGATCAATTCGAATTGCGTGCAAAAATTTACCTCACAAATTAGCTTTTTCATGTTATTGGAGCCATAACGACAGTTAATTTGGAAAAACTGAAAAAGCTTTTATTCTAGTTCAAAGTCGGTTTGTTGTTCCTTTTTACGTCTTTCTTGTTATTGTAGCGATAACAGATCATTTTATACTCTAAACAGGCCGATATCGGACGACTATATCATATAGCTCCCATACAAACTGAATGATCGGAATCAAGTTCTTGTATGGAAAACGTTCACATTTGACAATTAGGCTGTTCACGATAAGGTGGTTATCGGGTTATGTGGCTATGTGATTAAGTAAACAACAACAAAATGCGGTATGACAAAATAACCAACTTTGACCAACCCAGACCCTTGTTTACAGATTATGTGGTTGTTTACTTATTTCCAGTGTTAGAAAGTAGCTGGAGTTTTACTAAATGGCAGCACAAAAAATAAATAAAACTAAGCGAATGGCATTTCCATTTATATTTTCTAATTGGAATATTAACAGCTGTTTTTTGTTTACAATTGCATTGTGACACTGTTCAGGGCGCAAGATGTCTGCAAATTTTATACARAGAATCTTTTGAACTCTTAAAATTTGGATTATATAATAAGCACATACCTTCAATAAACTCCATTTCCTGAATAGCAGAACTTATTTTAAATTCAATTATGTTGCTTTTTAAACTTTGTTTAGGCATTTTATTAGTAGAAATTTCATTGAACTTAAAATGTAAACAATGAACAGCTGTGTAAAAATAAGCATATAACCATACAATATGGGATGTTCACGGATCATAGAGGTTATTTTTAATCTAATAACCACATAACCGGATAACCACCTTACCGTGAACAGCCTAAATGTATCTTCACAAAATTTGGCACAGGYTATTTTCTAAGATAATAATGTAAAATGCGAAGAAATTGTTTAGATGCCGTACAAACTGAATAATCGGAATTCAAATGCTTGCATGGGGGACTTCCTCATTTGACGACATATCTTCACGAAATTTAGTATAAGCTATTGTTCATAGAAATAATGTCATATCGGAAGAATATGCCCTGACAGCTACCAGTCTGCAGTTACCAGCAACCGCGGAGGCAACCAAGAAAATTTCAACGCAAGGTGAGAGTTTACCAACAAAAAAAATAAAGGAACGTTTGTGCAAATTGACCGTCAATATAAAAAGGAAATTAAGTCCTTCAAAGTCAGCGAACAATCCTCTAAAATTTCAAGGCGGCACACCAAATAAAAATAAAACGAAAGTTATTATTCGTATCAACTGAAGAGCTCTAAGGACCTAGTTGTTGTAATCAAGGGTATAGAGTTCGCCGTAGAGTCTAGTGAGTTTTTTAGTGAGTAGTTTTGGAATTAAAACAGTTGTAAATATATTTAATAGAAACAAAGTACCACAGCCAATGTTTAAAACTGAATTGTTACCGAACTCAAATCAACTTAAAAAAAAAAAAAATTAAACACATCCAATATAYAATTTGAAATATTTGTTGCATCGTAGAGTAACTGTGGAAGAACCACATAAAAGTACAATATACTAACTGCCAAGAATATGGGCGTACTAAATCATAATGCACTCTACGCAGTGTTAAGAAAAAATAATTGAATAAAAAGTGCAGCAATTGCGGAGGAAATCACACTGCTAACTACAGAAGTTGCCCTGTATATAAAGATTTGAAATCGAAGTTGTCACAGGGCGTTCAAGCATGTCGTAACTAAATGTTACAAATAACCCGTAATTAAATAATAGCAACCTCAGAAAAAAGTTCAAATCCTATTACTTCTAACGATAATAACATGCAAGGAAGCTATGCAAATGTGGTGAAAGGCAACACTGTGCAAACGCAACTGCCGCAAAATCCTCCAAATGGAGGTATTGAAACTATGATTATAAATCTTACACAGTGTATGACACAAGCCCAAGATTTAATAAAATCACAGAATCAAATGCTGCAAATCTTATTAAGTAATTTGTAGCTGTCAATCTTACCCAACATAGCTAAAGAGTCGCTCGAGTCTCTTAAGACTTCACCTTCTGAAATTTTTGGTATCATCAAAGAATGTAATCCAAAAAAATCGCCGGGACATGATAATATTTGCCCAAAAATTCTAATTGAGTTACCAATTATTGCTGTAGAAGTGCTATCTTCGCTCTTCAATGCAATTCTAAKTTTCGGATATTATCCAATTTCATGGAAAAAGTCGCAGATTACCTTGATAGATAAACCTGGGAGAGACCTAACACAGCCGTCTTCATACAGACCAATCAGTCTTCTACCCTGCCTTTCAAAAGTATTACTATCAAAGATGTCTTCATTCCTCCATGAAAATAATACAATACCAATGCATCAATTCGGTTTTCGTGCGAAGCATGGCAGAATAGAGCAAGTAAATAGAATTACTAACGAGATAAGGAAAGCATTTGAACACAGGGATTACTGTTCAGCAATATTTCTAGATGTAGTTCAGGCGCTTGATAAGATGTGGCACGAAGGTATTTTATACAAGATTGAAAAAATTCTACCTTTAGAATTGTATAAAACATTGGAGTCTTATTTAAAAAATAGACAATTTACGGTAAAAGTGGGAAATTTCATATCTGATGAATGACAGATAAGCGCTGGTGTTTCAGGCCCAACACTATACATCATATTATATATACAGCAGATCTTCCAACAGCTAATAATGTATGCTGGAAATTTAAATTGGCTTTTAAATAAAAACTCCAAACTTAGCCTAGACAACAAAGTGCTTTTATAGTATATAATGCGGT